CCATGGCCGAGGAAGGGTGAGGGCCGGGCCGGGCCGCGGTGGGGCGCGCGAGGCAGCCCCCGCTGCCCGGGAGTTTCCGCCTCGTGGCCGCGGGCGGCGCATGCGCGGCGGGTCTGCTGCGGGGGGGGAGGAGGGGAGCTGATTCCAGGGGCACGGTGGGCACCCCACCTTCTCCAAGCATGTGGAGCTGCGCTCAACGGGGGAGAGGAGATGGATGTGTGTGTGTAATCTGCCTGCCTGTGCAGCATTACTGCTGGAGGTGTAATGGACGTCAACACTGCCCTGCAAGAAGTGCTGAAGACTGCACTGATCCACGATGGCCTGGCACGGGGCATTCGCGAGGCTGCCAAAGCCTTAGACAAGTGAGTGCTGTCTGCAGGTGGATGCTGCCCTCATGGGGCCGGGGCTAGTCATGCCACTGGGTCATGCTTGGAAGTGGGGGTTCTTGTTGGTTCTATTCTAGTGTAGCAGAGCTATTAAAACGGGTTTCACCCGGTGTGACCCATGGATGACAGATTTGATGCACGATATGGGGGGGGGCGAGGGACGTATAACTGGGGTACATACAAGCAAAGATCTCCTGGAAGAAGGAAAGGAGCAGCACCAGTGTTTTGACATTTTAAGAAATCCAGGTATACACTGCTCCATTTCCTCCGTGTGGGCTCCGCACAGCCCCTTGCAACTTTTTCAGAAGAAGAGTGTTTCCTCCAGGTTGGCGGTTACAGTCTTTAGACTTCATTTAAGTCATTCACACGCAGTAATTAAAATGTGCCAGCACCAGCTGCTGCCCATTTAAAAACCTTCTTTTGAAAGGGCTCTAAGTTTATTTATATAGCTCTTATAGTAGAGACCTGCCCAGGCAAGTACCTTTAAACATGATTAGAAAGTAGCAGTATATCCTTTGGGATTATCTGTTTTGGGGCCAAGTAGAATGCTTTTAGTTTGAGACAAGATATGCTTAAATTACCTGTTTCTAGGGTAGGCAAAGCTGTTTGTAGCTCTCTGGTAATTTCTGGCTTTTTTTATTTTTTTATTTGGTGAATTCACGTACATTGTGTGTTGTGGTAGTAGATCAAGACAACATAAAATGGAAACCCTAGAATTTCTGGGGTACCAAATAATGTATATAAGCACATTCTTGGTTTACAAGGAGAGGTAGAGAAGGGCATGTTGTAAGTAACTTACTAACAGTTGTAGGCTTACTAGCTTTCAAGACTCAAATGGCGCTTACAGTGTTTGAATGATGACTCTTCAAAATGTCGGATACCCCTTCACTCATTATGAGTGAGAGCAATAGTCTGACAAACCTGTAAGTTAAGGCCCTAGGCCAGCAAAGATGATAAGAAATTGAGGGAAGGAAGGACACATAATTTGGAACTAAAATTTCTCAACCTTTTTTTGGTAGGCATGCCACTTATGAGCCCTGTGCTCTTATGTGGTATTCTGATCCACTTCTGCCCAATCTGACCCTGCTTTCTGATCCTTGCTTGATTTGCTGCTCTGCTCCCTACCTAACTTGCTGCTTTGCTTTCTGGTTCCTTCCCTGTCACTGTTGCCTATCCCCTCCCCACACCTGCTGCATGCCACACCAGCTGCCCGTGCCACCTGTAACACCTGTATTATAGGTCAGCCATCTCTACTTTAAAGCAAGGACTTTTGCCTATGTGTAATAGCTTGCTAATGTAACAGGTTGAATAAAAACATGGGTGCTGTGTGTCAGCACAGGGTTATACCAGTAAGTATTATTTAGAAAAACTTTAGCTAAGGGCCTGTCCCACCCCAGTGCTGCCCATAATGATGTCCTGGCGGAGGATGTTGCTTCATCTATGCTGGAATCAGGGCTGGGTCTAATGGCTGTGATCCTCCTAATGTCCCTTTTTTTTTTCGGTGGGGACAATCAGGAGAGATTGCCCCCACCCTCCCCTGACAGCTCCCTAAATTAAATGCATGGTTTTGGGCTATGTGCCAGATTTATCCAGATCCATGCATCTAATGGTCTTAATTTGATGTTCAGGTTGAATTTGACAAAAGCTAACTTTTATTCATGATAATTCTCTGACAAGCAAAGTCTAAGCGTTTCAGAAAGGTCAGAATACACTTTTATAGTAATTTTAATTGACTATTTTAATTAAGTACGATATTAAGTTCTATCAATATTTCTGTTTCAGACGCCAAGCCCACCTTTGCGTTCTTGCATCAAACTGCGATGAACCAATGTACGTGAAGCTGGTTGAAGCACTTTGTGCAGAACACCAAATCAACTTGATAAAAGTGAGCATCAATTTTGGGTGCAAATGTTGAGGTAGTTATACTTGGATGTGTTTGTACTTTGCCAATGAAATGTAACAAAAGCATTCAGTTTGATAGCTGACTTGATTGTAATTAGAGAGTTGAGTTTGAATGAAATTATAAATTGCTTATAGACTATTTCTTTGGTTTTTACTTTGTGGCCCCCAAGACCATGTGGTGCCATAAATGTTCTGGTGCTGTGTATTTGAAGTAAGCTGCTTTAAAAAAAAAAAAAAAAAAAAAAAAAAAAAAAAAAAAAAAAAAAAAAAAAAAAAAAAAAAAAAAAAAAAAAAAAAAAAAAAAAAAAAAAAAAAAAAAAAAAAAAAAAAAAAAAAAAAAAAAAAAAAAAAAAAAAAAAAAAAAAAAAAAAAAAAAAAAAAAAAAAAAAAAAAAAAAAAAAAAAAAAAAAAAAAAAAAAAAAAAAAAAAAAAAAAAAAAAAAAAAAAAAAAGTATGCATTTCTGATTTAGTCTACAAAGTACAGATCTAGTCTGCCTCCTGCCTGACTTGAGATCAGTGCAGTTAACTACTTTTCTGTACTTAACCAAAACCATTCTTACTGTTATAACAGTGCACTCCTGCTATGTGAACAGCACAGACTGATAGTGCAAGACCATAAGTAAAGTAAATGGCAAAAAGGAAGAATTGAGAAATTTTTACATAAAATATTTTGTATATCAGAATAATTTTATTGTCACTTCTGTCTACGAGAGGGATCGCACTAAGCAGAAACACTTCTTTAAATACCATTTTTATTGTAAAATCTGTCGCCTTCATGTTCTCCTGGCTGTACGGTGATGATAGTTTGGCTCCCTCTACTGATAATTGTGAGGAAAGCAGCCACAAACGTTACCCACTATTTCTGAGTGTACAGCAGCTTTTAATTCTGTTCTGATGTGTCAAGAAAAGTGCCTTTTCTAACTTGTGCAATGTCTTCAACAGGTTGATGACAACAAGAAATTGGGCGAGTGGGTAGGTCTCTGCAAAATTGACAGAGAAGGAAAACCCCGCAAAGTAGTGGGCTGCAGTTGTGTGGTTGTCAAAGTAAGATAACACATTATTCCACTTAGTTTCAAAATTGTGTAATGCAACTAAAATGGCATGGGGGCACCACTTTGGAAGCCCCTTGTGGCAGTGAAACTTCTTGTCTGCCAAAA